CCCCTCACTTTCCTCAGGTCTTTGCTCAAGTCTACTCTTGGAGATGTTATTTAAGCCTTCCCTATTTTTTTTTTTTTTGACCATTGAATTTTGATTTTTAACAGCATGTATTACCTCCAGTCAGGACAGAACAGATTAAAAAAAAGAAAAAAACAATCAAGGCCATGGCCTGGTCTCATAGCACAGTACGCTAGCACCGAGAGCAGAGGCAACATGAACCAACCACGTGCAAGTCTCAGCCCGGGTGGCTTAAGCCTTCCCTATTTTTTAAAATATAGATTTATTTTTATTTTCTCCTCAACACTTGATAGATGTACTTATTTATTGTTTATCTCTGCCAACATAAGCTTCACTGGGAAAGTCACAGGGCAAGAGCTTTTGTTTACTGTTGTAACCTCAGTGTCTAGAGTTAAATCCACAAAATAGTTTAAGAATTAATAAGTGAATGTAAGACTATGAAAGAATACCATTAAACTTGTGGTATGAATACAGGGATGGATAAATGATGGTACTAGGAGACACTGGAGGAGAGAGTATGGGATGCCTATGAAACACCCAAGTGGGACTGCATAGCCATTTGTTTACTGAGCACCTAATACAGGCCAGACACTATTATAAGTGTTTATCAGTGGAAAATCACACACACAGAGAACAAAGAATACTACCCTCAAGGAGCTTACCTTCTCTAGGAGACAATAAGTGAATGATATAATAGATCATTCTGATCTATTATAGATCAGATGAGATAGTACTATGGGAAGAAAGACAAGGGGAATCTAGAGTCAGTGGAAATGTAGTTGCAATGTACTAATTCCTATTTTAAATAGGGCAGTCAGGGCTGAACTCACTGAGCAGTTGACATGGATCTGATGCTGAGAACAAACTAGTATGTTAAATTGGCAATACTATCTAGCCCAAGGTTTTATGATCAAACAAAATTTGTAAAAAAGGTCTGGCAAATAAATAGTTGCTAACATCGTTTAAACCACTTCCCCACCCTAACTGCTGTTAGGTTTCAATCAATCTGAAACAGGCGAGTTAAAAAGAAAAACAGAGTGGGTGAGTGAGTGTGTATCCCTCCTTTACTAAGACAGAAAAAAGTTCTCCTTCTTTGTTGCTTCATTTTTAGTAGTGATGTCTTCTGAGTCATTATCCATAGGAAATGAAAAGTCTTGGGAAGAGAAATCAGACTATTTTTTATACAAAATTGTGGGTAAGCAGAATAGGTAGAAGATCCTACTGGGTCAACATGAAAATGCATCTAAATGGGAGGGATGCTACAGGTGTTTATGTTTTACCAGAAGTGATACAATTTTTACTTTAGATAGTGAAAAGTTAAAGGTATATATTACAACCCTTAGTGCAATCACGGATTTTTTTTTTTTTTTTTTGTAGAGGTTTTTGCTATAGGGCGCGTGCGCTCACCAGACAGAGAGAGACAGAGAGACAGAAAGCGAGAAACCACACCCAGGGGGGATGGACACGCTGCAATCCCTTCTCCTCCATTCTCCTCTCAGGATGTTGGGCACGCACGCACACGCGCCCGGCGTGAGTTTTAAGCCACCGGGTCCAGCACTTGAACCACCGTCGACAACGTGGGAGTCTAGAGACAGCCATTACTCTAACTGCTGGTCCCAGAATTTTTTTTTTTTTAGAGAGAGACTTTTGCTATAGGGCGTTTGCACTCACCAGAGAGACAGACAAACAGAAAGCAAGAAGTCACCCCCCTGGGGACAGAGGGTTGGCAGCTATGCTGCAATCCCTTATCCTCTATTCTCCTCTCAGGATCTTGGGCACATAAGCACACGAGCCCTGCGTGAGTTTCAAGTATCCAGGTCTGGGACTTGAACCACAGTAAGCCATGTGAGAGTCCAACTATGTAACCATCACGTCATCTACTGGTCCCCACAACCACAGAATATTAATGCCACATATTACAAAGGCATACCTAAAATGCAGAAAGGTTACATTAAAATGAAGTTGAAAATACTCAATCCAAAGACAGTGTAACAATAAAAGGAGGATTCAAAACTATTTCTAACAGAAAGAAAATAAAATATAGAAATTTGTGAGTGCAGCCAAAGCAGTTCTAGAGGGAAAGTAACAGCTTTAAATATTAATATTAGGAAGGAAGAAAAGCTAAAATCAATAATCTTAAGTTTTTCCTAAAAGAGGCTATAGGAAAAAAAAAAAAAAAAGGCAAAGAAAACCCAAGTTAAATAAGTTAAATGAAATGGGGGCCAGCAGGTGGCGTGGTGGTTAAAGGTGATGGACACCCACATAGCTGACTGTGGTTCAAGTACTGACCCTGGTGGCTTGCTCTCTCACTTTCTCTCTCTCTTTCTGTCTGATTAAACTGGAAAATAATAAAAAAGTTAAATAAAATAATTCTTTAAAAACAATGAAGTGGAAAATTGAGAAACTAAGAAAATATTATGCCTTTCTAATATAAATGTTTAAAGCTGTAGTTTTGCTCTAGAACTGCATTAGCTACATCCCACAAACACACACACACACACGGAGAAAATACAATGAAGCACCAAAATGAAATATCAACTAAAAATTAAAAACTGGGGAACCAGCAGTTAGCGTAATGGCTATGTCGCTGGACTCCCATGCAGTCGATCGCAGTTCGCGTCCTGGACCCGGTGGCTTAAAACTCACGCCGGGCGCGTGTGCGTGCGTGCCCAAGATCCTGAGAGGAGAATGGAGGAGAAAGGATTGCAGCGTGGCCATCCCCCCTGGGGGGTGATTTCTCGCTTTCTCTATGTCTCTCTCTGTCTGTCTGGCGAGCACACGCGCCCTATAGCAAAAAAAAAAAAAAAACTCTCAAAAAAAAATTTAAAAACTGTAATTACCTAGAGTGAGTGAAAAGGAAGGAGGTGCCAATGAGAATGTCTCTTAGGAAGCTTGTCATGTTCTGATAGATTTTTAATTTTTTTAATGAGTAAGCCTGGGAAAGAAGAGGTTTATCTGACATGGTGTCATGTCACCACCCTCATTTCCCTGCCTCGGAATCAGCTAAGACTGCCCAGGCACACCATCAGCAGAGCCTGGGTAGGTGGGGGAAAGGAAACCAGACCTCCACATGGCCTGAGCTGGGCCCAAGTACCCCTCTGACTCCAGCTGGTGCAGCTAAAGTAGTAACAGTCTTCTGAAACGGGGTGCTGAGGCCTTACTCTTCCTTTTCATTACATGCATGTTTTATACAATCTCTGTATTTATAATACATTTCATAAGTCAGAAAAATAGTCTGTGGAGAGAAATGAACCATTAGCTACACTACACTCATCATTTGGAGGCAGGGTCCCTTCAAATCCTTTCAAAACATCTGATGAGTAAGACTAAGCTCTTTCACATCTGATCCATGTCAATGATTTTAAAAGGGCAAATTTTTCATCTTTTGGAAACAAGTTATTTTCAAACAAGAACTGAAGACGAAACAGAAATGTTCTGGTTTACTACCCTAACTTGCTACATTTCTGTGCTCGGTAATAAATAATTGCCCTATTCTTCCAAACCACCTTGTGTTGTAGAGTATGGGATAATCTCTACCAGTTAGAAGAATTCTCTTCCTTGCGCACTTTTTCTCCAGATTATGGTAGTTTCTCTTCTATAGCACTGATAACAGACTTCAATTTTTATTTGGTTACCGCCTTTATCAGACTATCAAAATATAAACACAATCAATACTCTGCCATTATCATAAATCCTTGGAGGTTCAGCCTGACCACAACACCGAGGAAGCAGAGAACTCAGGCTTTCGATCTAACTTAAGAGCCAGACAATTTTAGGTTTCATTTGGCAAAGAGAAAAGCTGTGCTCCAGGCTTGCTTCTTGCCAACTACCCAGCTCTTCGGGGTGAGCTGTGCGTCTACGGCTCCAGTTAGTTTCTCATCAAGAGATCGTCGAGGAACACAGCGGTGCCTATTTCTCTTCCCACAGCAGCTGCCCCAAACACCCCCAGCGCCTCGTCTGTCGTTTTTGTTTTGTCACGTCAGGCTGTGCCGCCGCTTCAGCCGCTGGTGTAACTCCGCGGGGTCCGGGACAGCCTCTGCCCGTTTACTACCGG